CATATAAATTTTAACAGTTATACAATAATACAAGAAAAACATTTTATAGAAATTTATAATATATGATATTTTAGATTTCAAATATTAATGAAATTATAAATTATACATTATATAATTAAAATATAAGATAATTTGTATAATATCATATAATATTATATACACATATATAAATTTATTATGTCAAATAGTAATTGATATTTTAGATATTAATATAATTTTTAGTATGATAATGTTATAATGTTTAATCGATTTTTTGCGTAACTCTAATGGATAGTATCCAACAAGAATTCTTAGTCAGCATAGTCCCTCTCCTTGTAAAGTATTTATGTCAAGGGTTGACACCAACAACAAAAATCGATCACTAAGTTTTGATTTATGTATTTAAAATACATTTTTATTATAAATTTGTGGATTATTAAATTATTTGAAGTATATTAGGCAAAAGAGTCTTAATGACGAGAGAGAATGAGGGCAGTTGTTCAAAATTGGAACAACAAATAATTCGTATAACCTACACATCCTCTCTTTTTGAGGATCATGATTCCCTTCCTGGCGGAGGGGATTCTGTGCAAATGAACTTAAGTGCACTACACATAGTTCAATATAAACTGCGCAGATACAAAAGTGTACAAAAAATCATTGGAATCCAAACAAATCGTAAACTACATATAATATTAATAATATTAAACATAATATAAGGCTACATAGTCTACATGTCTTTGTGTTTGGATAGACATTTATTGTAATGACCCACTCCACCACATAGTATAATATTTCTACTTTGGACTTGATCCCGCAAGATTTTGCTCTTGGACTTTATCCCAAAAGACCTCATGTTAATTGGAGTGACACACTTATATATAAGCACTTCACATTTCCCTTTTCAAGGCTATGTGAGATTGTGCACTCGTAACTCGCCAGTGTGGTAGCCTATCAGTATCTCACACCCGCTCACGGCCCCATCCTTCCCCCCCTCCCCCCCATAGGGTCATCACAATAATCAATTTTGACAGCAAAAAGAAATAATGGAATAAATATAAATTCTAATCAATCAGTAATTCCATATATAATCTCCATATCTTCAATTAGAAATAATTATCGTTAAATCATAGATAATCATCTAACAATTAAAATATAAATAAATGCAGCGTTACAAGTAAGAATTAACTTGCCTAAAAATGAAGTCTGCTAAAGCTTCTTCGTTTCCTTGAAAAGATCGTGTAGAATTCACAGGACAGCATCGTATATCGTAGGCAATCATAGATAATCATCTACATGTCTTTGTGTTTTGGATAGACATTTATTGTACTCTCATTATGAAAAATTGTATACATTCAAAGTATAGTATAACCTAATGTTACTACTATTGACTTAAGAAGATTCTTGAAATTCTTATTAGAAACTATTGGGATCGGTTCGATTTTAATTTAGCTTGGAATCATATCATATTTAACCGTGTGCACCTCTAAATATGACATAGTTCACTTGCATCATAGAATCATGTCCACAGGTGAGTGATTCTTATTTTTTTCTTAGACTATTCAAAATTTGTATAATATATAATTATATGATATTCATTCTAACGGACGCTCTCTATTTTCATCGTTAATAGAGTGTGGGGAGTTTCCATGATAAATAGAGAATATTTATTGAGAAAATACCACATATCAATGTACCTCAGAATATTATAAACTTTCTCAAAAAAAAAAAAAAAAAAATGATTGCGTAGAGTATTGCTCACTCATAATCACTTGCTCGTTCTCCAACTCCAAACTAGAGTGTGACTTCTAATGAACCTTAATGATTTTTTTATTTTTCTTTTCTTTTCTTTTGAAACTACTTTGATTCAAATATGCCAACTTTGTTTTAAGAGCTAAGCAAGAACAATTGTGGTCAGCAAGGTCAAATTGTTAAGATTGGCGACCCGAATTGAAGGAAATGACACCTTCTTATTTGTTACTCCCTCCGTCCCATATTAATAGTCCGTTATCTCATTTTTTGCTGTCCCATTTTAATTATCACATTTCAAAAATCAATACACTACTTTTTATTACATTCTTAATTTACCCCTAAAAGATTAAACTAATTAAAATTTCAAAATAAGTGGACCCCATTTTCCATACTTCTACCTTTGAAACCCAAAAATAAGTGGACCCTATTAAAAATCAATACCCTACTTTTTAGGGAAGGGCAAACTTGGAAATGCATCTTTTGCCAACCCAATAAAATATAATAAAAATTGTTGCCTTAAAAAATGTGAAATGTGAAATTGGACTATTATTAAGGGACAGAGGGAGTAATAAATAAACTTTGGACCTAAAATTTCACTGGTATATTGGGCCTTGAAATAGCACCAAATGGACCTAGAAATTTATACTGGGTTAAGTGCAATGTTGGACCTAGATTTTAGAAATTTAAAATTCAAGGTGTGTTGTAATATGTAGTCCTAGTCTGAACTAAAACATAAATATAAAAGCCCAACCACAGACCTAACATGGTTGGACTGGGCTGAAAGGACCATATTGTACAGATCTAAATTAAAATTAAAACCAGTTAGGCCCATTTTTATGCTAATGATTTTATTTTTTGACATTTTATGTTATGTCAAAAAAATTTAGAACAAAATCTTCAATTACGAGGAATGTAATGTTTATGATTTTTGCCATTATTTTTTATTTTTATTTTTTGAATTTTTCTGTTTTATGAAGGTATTTTAGTCTTTTCTCGTTTTATGTGCCGGGTACCGTGGGGTGTACCGGGTGTGTCAGAGAGTTGATTGGGGCATTTTCTTGAGTTCAGGGCTTGTGGAAATGCAATGGTCGCCATTTCGATATTTTTCGTTTTTTGGGCCGGGAGGTTCCAAGTGGGACCCGTTACCAGAATTGTTGTGTACGGGGGTTGTGTCATGGGTTCATTTCATTTTTTGCATTGTTATTTTGTACATAAATTATTTGTTTTTATGTTAATTGGTGTGGTGGTGAATTAATTATTGTATATATATATATATATATATATATATAGATATAGATATTTATGTTATTAAAGTTTATTATAAAAGAAAAGGAAAAAAAAAAAAAAAAAAGTAGTGGGACCCGCATGAGTATTACACCTTATCAAGTGACTAGGGGTCATTACTGACCCATTTTTCTGTTCCTCTATTCCACGAAATTCTCATCTTCTCTCTTTTCTTTTTTCTTTTCTCTACCTTTAAGCTTGAATTTCTCCCAAACTATTGAGAATCCGATTCTACCACTTAAGGCAAATTTGATAAGCTTGTTGAGGCCTTCATTTTTATTGGAGCTGATTTCAATTTGGAGCATCCTTGGATTTTGAAATTCTAGGGTTCTTGAACTGAATTTGGGGCTTTGTTTCACATAATCTCCAATTGAGGTAGGGGTCTACCTAATGCATCTTGTTTTACCTTCCATTGAGCAAATTTCTAAGCCCTTTCCCATTTTATTTATTTATTTATTTTGTGTTAAATTATCACATAATGTATATGATTGTATGTTGAACATGTTTAAGGATGATTCTTGTACATGTTTACTTGGAATAGTGATGTTTTTGATGTGTTGGATTTCTAAAGCATGTCATGATTTTATTTGATTATTAAGAATGCCATGATTCTATTTAAGTATTATAAGTGCAATGGTGATATTGTTCTTGATATAGTGATGGAATTGAAATTATAAGGATGTAAATCATTATATAGCATATCATGACATAAGGGAGGGGTTCGGAGAAGAGGTGAAAGGAAAATTTTGATTCTTTTAAAGAGTAAAGTTTTTTTTAAAAGATGGAAAGGTTTTTTTTAAAATGAATCGGATTTCGCGAGTCCGGGGCTAACTTGACCTAGAGGAAGCATGGCCCGGTGTAGAGCGTGAAAAAGTTAATACTAGACCCTTTAACGATTGCCGGATTTGGAACCGAGAATAGTTATTAATCTCGCCTTGGTAAAGTCAGTTAGCGGATTTTTTTAAAAAAATGTGGGTTGGGTCGGTATAGACCAGATTAAGGACGGGTACATCACATCTCATATCATTTCATGCACATTAATTTTAAAATTGTGCTTGTGACTAGGAAAATTACTTATTAAATGGAAATGTTATTTGAACCCCATGGCATGACCCCGGCTTCATTTTCTATTTTCTTATGTGTTGTATGGCTTAAGGGAGTCCAAAACTAATGTCTTAAGCGACCTCTATGAGCTTTATGCTCACCCCATTACTTAAATAGTTTTTTCAGGGCACGGAAAAGAAGTGACGGACGACGTTCCACCACAAGCTTAGTTTGGATTAGACGACTATTTTGTTAGTTTTTGCAACCAAAGTTTTACGTTGTAATGATATAATTATGTTTTATATAATTTTGTGTTTGGAAACCTTGTAATTATAATGACGAGCATAGAGTAACTCTTGTAAAATGTCTTAGTATATGTTAGGACTCTAAATCATGTTTTGGGACTATAATTATGATACATTTAGATTAGATGGTATGTGGTTGTTGTAGCAAGAAATGAACTATGTTAGGGTATAATGAATGGATGAATGAAATGTTGGAATGTGTGATATTGCAGTACTTTGGGACAGGGTAGATAAATTTTAAGGTCTAAGTGAGGCCATTGTATATTTCTTATATTTTTGCAACAGGTTATAGTATGACTTTTTCAGCAGAGGTCATGCCAAATTTTTGGATCGTTACAAATTTGGTATTAGAGCGATGATTCGAAAACCCTTAGGACGACGGGTAGAGGCCTACATAGGGTTGTATGAGAAGTCATTTGCATTTTTTATATGGCTATTTGCTAAAGTGTTTTGTTATTTGAAAAGCATGCTTAACTGTTTACTTGCTTACGTGCTTATATGTTTATGCCAATGTGCTTATTGTATAACTTTGTATGCTAAATGTTAGTATAGTATCATTTTGTGTTGAGTCTTTCTCGGTTGGACCTTAGTGTCATTGTTGTTGAACTGTTTTCTTGTTTTTTTTTTTTTAGCACAATGCCATCGCGAAAGGAACCAAGGGGAGTTGGCCTTAGGCCAACAAGGGGTGATGTTCGTGAAAGCTTTAGCTCCAATCCCGCGGAGCCAATTGAAGATGATACACTTCTTAGGGACTTGATTCCCCCAAGAGGTGTTTCCACTAGAAGGGGTAATGTTGAGACGCCCATTAAAGAGGGTGAAGGTTCGGCTGAACTGGCACTTAATCGTTTGTTACAGAATGATTTGAGGGCTACGATTGCTTCTCTTCCGCAGCTAGTACCACAACCGGTAGCTCAGACAGAGGAGACGGAAGTGCAGAAACGTCTCAAGTTGATTTTAGGGTTTGTGAAGCTTATGCCAGTAATGTTTGAGGGTGGCGTAGATCCGATGGTAACGGATGATTATCTTGACCAAGTGGAAAGCCACTTAACTTCTATGAATGTGTCGAATGATCAGTTAAAAATCACATTGGCCATTTATAAATTTTCTAAGGACATTAAGCTTTGGTGGAAGTCGGTCACTTACCAGCACAAGGTAGAAAACATGAGTTGGGATATGTTCAAGGAACTGTTTTACGAAAAGTATTTTCTGATTACGAAGAGGTGGGAGTTAAGGAAACAGTTTGATGATCTCATACAATGCAATATGTCAATGACGGAATACGAAAACAAGTTCACCTCTCTTTCTCGTTTTGCTCCTAAGTCAGTGAGAAATGAGGCTGACAAGACAAGGAAGTTTGTCTCTGGCCTTCATTACCAAATGAGGCCATTGATAACGGCACAGTATTTCAAAGTTTATGCGGAGGCAATGGAAAGAGCATTAATGCTAGAGGCGGAAGCAAATGATAGAAATGCAAGAAGGGAACAGTGGAAGCAAAAGAGGAATGCAGGATCATCTTTAGAGGGACAGTCATAGAAGAAGAACAAGGGTGGTTCAACTCAGATTTAGGGACAGCAGTCAGCAAGATCCGCACCCACAGCTTTAGTGTCTATGGGATCTTCCAGGCCAGATGTGTGTTTTAAGTGCAAGTAACCCGAGCATTACAAAACACAGTGTCCACAGATTCAAATGGCGTCGGGGGGATGTTTTGGGTGTGGCCAGCAGGGCCATAAGGTGAGAGATTGTCCATAGCGGGGCAGTGATTCAGGCAGGGGTGGAGGTTCATAGTAGAGGCAGGGTTTCGACCGCCACCACCACCTCATCCATCTTAGCCAGTTATGTCAGCACAGAGTTCTCGACCAGGTAGAAGAGCTTCTTCCAGTGCACCTACTCAGCAGTCGGGTTATCAAACAGATAGTTCACAGGGATAGAGGACCCAAGGTCGTGTATATGCAGTCATTCCAGCTAATCCATAGTTGTTAAAGGCTCAAGGCGCACAAAAGCGCAAATGCCTCCTGGAGCCTAAGGCGCAAGGCGAGGTGCGTGCCTGACTGAAGCATGGTGCACGTTAGAAAAAAAAAAAAAAAAAAAAAAAAAAAAAAAAAAAAAAAAAAACCCACCCAATAAAATATTAAAGATGCCATAGTATATATAAAGATGCAAAAGTCAATTAAATGAATTATTTAAGTTCAATATTCAAAATAAAGATGCCAAAGCCAAGTAAATCAACTACTTGAGTTCAACAGTAAATAATCAAACATATTAACATAAAGATGCAAAAGTCAACTAAGAAGAATTATGAGATAAAACTAAAACAAACATAAGCATCATTTCTTCCTAAGAAGACAACACCAACGAATCTAAATATCATCCTCGTCATCAATAAGCATAACATTATTTTGATCATCACTAAATGATTCATAATTCTCAGGATCCTCTTCTATCTCATCTGAATCTGCCTCATCCTTATCCTCATCCACAAGTCGAACTGAAGAACTTCATGCTCCCTTTGTTGGTAACCGTGAACTAGAACTAGAATTTGATCTAATAAACCAGTGCGGCCTACTATCCTCTCCAATACTAGCAACACTAGCAACATCACCCCATGTCAAGGAATCATCTTCAAAAACTAGATCATGTTCTGCATCAGAATCATCCATCCTCCCCGTCAACCACTCGTTGCTCTCATCAATGTCATCGAGTAAAATGGGATCAAGATTGTCACGCATATTATATCGACGCCTCAATGCTCTATTATATTTGATGAACACTAAATCAATCAAAGTTATTTGAGCAAGCCTATTTCTTCTCTTGTTATGAAGCTGCAATAAATTCAACTTTAACTAGTAAGTAAAAAAAAATTTAATTTTAATTTTCAACAATTAAATTACAAACTTAGTTAGTAGATAGTATATACTTACATGCTCAAACACGTTCTAATTTCGTTTACAACCAGAAGAACTACAAGTAAAGCTTAAAACCTTTATAGCAAACTTTTGGAGAAGTTTTGTTAACTTGCCATAAGCTTCCCACCAATTAGCTATTAAAAAAAAAAATTAGTAATGATGTTTAGCAACTTTAGTTTCATCTTTATATGGACTCTATTGTCAAAATAATTTTAAAACTTAGCTATACTAACTTAATATACTTTACCACTTTACCTGGTCCTCGTGTACTTCTCTGTCTAATAGCAAAGGGATTACCAAAGAGGCCCTTAGCTTTAGAATATAAGGATAGCTCCTCAGTAATTTTGTATTGTTCTTTGACATCTAAGACTAACCTTGCAATGCATGCATACAAACCCTTTGCAATGTCTTCATCTTCTTCAATTTTTGGATTTGAATAAAAGTACTCTGGGTTCAAATAATAACATGTTGCATGCAAAGGGCGATAAAGTTGAACATTCCACCTCTTATCAATTATTTCAAAAATCTCCTTGTATTTGTCTTCTACTTCCCCAAATGATTTTGCAATGGCTTCTTTAGCCCTATCCAGAGCCGCATAAATGTATCCCATGGGAGGCTTTCTCTTGCCATCAAATAATCTCAAAACTGGAATAAGAGGACCGGAAACCTTAAGGCTAAAGATAATGGTGTTCCAAAAGGAATGCATCAAAACATAAGAAGTAACTCTTTTTACCGGCTTGCTCTTTCGCCCATTTATTATGATTTTATTCTTCTGAAGTAAACATCTTTCTCAAGTTATTCTTTTGCTTGTGAATACTTGATAATGTGATGAAACATGTAGCAAATTGAGTTTTAGCTGGCCTAAGCAGCTTCTTTTTGTGAGTAAAGTTCCTCATAATGTTCAACAACTTTGGACGCATATAAATATAACTATTCAACTCCACTACCTTCTGCATTGTTCTAAATATAGACAGTATTTTCCCAATGTCTTCCAACATCAAGTCTAAGCAATGAGCAGCACATGGTGTCCAATACAAATATGGGTGTTCTTTCTCTAACATCCTTCCTATTTGAAACCAAACGGAAAAAAAAAATTGATATAAAGAGAATGAGTAAATCAAAATTGATTTAAATTATATATTTGTAAAGAATGTAAACTCTAAAAGTTATAAACATTGAACATTCTTACCGACATACTTATTGCTTGATTCATTATCTGTGACGACTTGGATGACATTTGCTACTCCAATGCGGTTTATAAATTTATTAAGTAAGTCAAACATCTTTTCATCATCATTTGAAAAAGAAGAAATACCTATCGATTCAATAAACATGGTTCCCCTTGGACTATTTACCAGGAAATTAAGCAATGTTCTCCATCTCTTGTCTATCCACCCATCTGCCATTAATAAACATCCAAATTTTGACCACTCCTCTCTATAGTCATTCATCAAAGCATTGGTATTATCCAATTCCTTCCTAAGTAAAGGAACTCTCACCTCATAATAACTAGGTGGTTTCATGCCAGGACTATATTGTCCAAATGCTTCAACAACCTCGGCAAAGCTATCACACTTAACAGCATTGAATGCAATTCTTGCATCATACATCCACCTTGCAAAAGCAACACACGCTCTTCCTCTCAACTCTTTCTTTTATGCATCATTAATCGTTGACTGTTTTTCCCCCTCCTTTCTTTTTTGTACCACAATTTCTGGTCTAGGAGTGAAATATAAATCAATCTATCCTTTTTGCTTTTGCCTCTTTGAGGAATTGACACTAGCACTACCTACACTAGCTACCTTTTTCCCCGATTGCTAACTTCCATAACATCATCCTCATCCTCTCCATCAATGAAATTAATGTCATCACTAGGTAACAAATTCATTTGATTTTTTTTCTTTTCTTTTTCTTACTCATGTACTCTTTGATTTCTTCTCTAACACTAGATGGGCATCTTGTGCATGCACTCACATTTCTATACCCTTCAGCTAAGTGTTGCTTAGCCCGATAAATACCCCATTTTGTAACTTTTGCACAAAAGTTACAAGTGACGGCATTTGTATCTTTCAGATTCTCCAAATGTGAGTAATTCCATGCCAGATCCTTTCTTAAACCATTACTAGGCATCTTTTAAAGTACAAACTACAATCAAATTTAAGGTAAGAAAATAATAGCATCATGTAATTAGTGTCTGCAACAACTTTGACCAAAAAAAAAAAAATATATATATATATATATATATATATATATATATATACGGAGCTTCAAAACAATATTAACATTTCAATTTTAAAAAATAAATACACAGCTTTGACAAAATGCAAAATGCAGAATATTATTTCATAAAAAAATAAAAAATGCATCTATCTGTCCATGATTCTATGTTGATGCAAAAAGCAGTGTTGATGCAGAGAACAGAATATTATTTATATATTATTTCGATCTCAACTTATATATATATATTTATCCCATGTTTGGATGCTGCATTAATTGATAGAAAATTTGAGTTCATCTTGTAAAAAACACATGAATGTGCTATTATTATTTTTAAGTCAAATCAAATCTAATTTTCATTAAGCACGAATAAAACATTTTTGCAAGCTACAAGCACCATGTTTGGATGCATTAAATAGAAATTATGAATTTATCTTGCAAAAACCACAAAGATGTGCTATATTTTCAAATCAAATCAATCTAATTTTCTATAAGCACTATGATTGATTCTATTTTTCATTTTTGGGTAAGTGATTGATTGATCTTTATTAGTCTATTAAACAGATTAATAAGGGGTAAACAAAATCAACAGAAACAGAGAGGGATGATCATCAAACACATGCAAGGCACTAATCTAGACAAGCATAAAAATAAAAATAAATAAATAAATAAATAAAAACAGAGGACCAACATAAAATTAAAAAATAAATAAATAAAAATAAAAAAATAAAAAGAAGAATAAATCTGCCAAACTCGAGAAAAATAAATAAATAAAAAGAAGAAGAAGAAAAATAAAAATAAAAATAAATCTGCCAGACTCGAGAGAGCCGATAGAAGAAGAAGAAGAAGAAAAGAAGAAGAATAGAGAAAAAATAAAAAAATAAAAAAAAATAAAAAAAATCTGAGACTGAGAGATGATAGATTCAACAGATCCGATAAGAGAAGAAGGAGGAGAGAAGAAGAAGAGAGAGAAGGAGAACTTACCGGCAGACGCAGATCCGAAACTGAAAGATGATAGATCCGGCAGATCCGAGAGTCCGAGTCGCCTCTGCTGCCTCTGTCTTCTTTCCTTTGCTTTTTGGTTCTCTCTTCTTCTTTTTTTCTTTTTTTTCTTTTTTTTTTTTATGTTTTGTAACTTGTAGGTTTTCTATTATATTAACTAATAAAATAATATAATAGAAATAATAATAATATAACAATAAATAAACAAAACCAAAATAACAAAACAATTAAAAAACAACCATTTTCAAGCAAGTGCACTTTTAGCGCGCCTGTAACCTGGCGCCTTTGTATAAAAGGCACACACCTTGTTTAACCCAGTCGCCTCAAGGCATTCAAGGCGATAAGCTGGCGCCTGGAGGTGCCTTGCGCCTCAGGCACGCACCTCCAACGCCTTTAACAACTATGAGCTGATCCATCATTCAGTCCTTCAGTTGTCAGGGGTATGTTTCTTATGTCCCATTCTTGGGCTAGAGTGTTGTTTGATTTTGGTGTTTCCTATTCGTTCATTGCTTCATCATTTGCATGGGCATTGGGGTTGGAGATCAGTCAGTTAGACACCACTTTGTGTTGACACGCCTGTCGGGGGTTCAAGTGCACTTAATAGAGTTTGTTAGAGTTGTTCCATCACGATTGCCGGACGTGTACTTGAGTTCAATCTCATCCTTCTCGAGATGACAGGGTTTGATGTCATTCTTGGGATGGACTGGTTGTTACCCTTCAGAGCCGTTATCGACTGTTTCAGGGGTAGAGTGTCAGTGTGTACCCCTGATGGGGATTGCTTCTGTTTTGTGTGGGATCAGTGTGATTCTCTCACTCCTTCATTTTACGGTGTTAGAGATCGGGATCGACATGAGTTCTTCTTTGCTAGCCTTTTCGCTAATAATGATGTTGAGTTTTGTGGGGTTGAGTATCCTGAGGTTGTGCGTGATTTTTGGGATGTGTTTCCGGAGGACTTGACAGAGTTGCCTCCACTTCGAGAGGTGAAGTTTGCTATTGATTTGATGCCGAGTACCGCGCCAATCTCTATGGCACCATCTCGTATAGCACCGATTGAATTAGAAGAATTGAAAAAACAGCTTAATGATTTTAGGGTAAAAGGCTTTATCCGACTGAGTGTGTTACCGTGTGGCATACTGGTCTTGCTCGCTAAGAAGAAAGATGGTTCTTTGAGGTTGTGCATTGACTACCGGAGGTTGAATCATGCCACCGTCAAGAACAAGTATCATTTGCCAAGGATAGATAATTTGTTTGACCAGTTGAGGGGAGCCAGTTGTTTTTCGAAGATTGACTTGAGGTCAAACTACTATCAGTTGCAGGTTAGGGATGAAGAGATCCCAAAGACTACGTTCCGTACACAGTATGAACATTATGAGTTCCTTGTTATGCCCTTTAGTCTGACTAATGCACCAGCGACATTCATGGACCTAATGAACCGTGTCTTCTACGATTACTTGAATTAGTTTGTGGTAGTTTTCGTGGATGACATTCTTATATATTCACAGAATCGGGAGGAGCATGAGGTCCATTTGAGTATAGTGTTACAGATTCTATGGGAGCACCATTTGTATGCCAAATATGAAAAGTGTGAGATTTGGCTACAAGAGTGAAATTTTTTTGGGCATGTTGTTTCGGAAAGTGGGGTTTCAGTTGATCCTTCAAAGATAGAGGCAGTTCTGAATTGGGAGCAACCCAAGAATGTTTTTGTGATCCGAAGTTTTCTTAGTCTAGCGGGCTACTATTGTAGATTTGTGAAGAATTTTTCCCGTCTAGCAGCTCCTATGACTAGATTGACCCGAAAAGGAATTAAGTTTACATGGAATGAAGCATGTGAGTCATCATTTCAAGGGTTGAAGACAAGATTAACTACAGCTCCAGTGTTGGTGATACCCGAGCTTAGCTTGGGCTATGTGATTTGTTGTGACGTTTCACGTGATGGTTTAAGTTGTATGTTGATGCAGGATGGTAGAGTGGTGGCTTATGGGTCTCGACAGTTGAAGAATCGTGAGCTTAGCTACCTTACTCATGATTTAGAGTTAGCGGCAGCCGTGTTTACTTTAAAGTGTTGGAGACACTACTTGTATGGCGAGAGATTTGAATTGTTCTCGGATCATAAAAGTCTCAAGTACCTTTTCTCTCAAAAGGACTTGAACAACAAACAGAGGCAATGGGTTGAGTTTTTGGAAGATTATAACTTTGACTTACAGTATCATCTGGGCAAGACAAATGTGGTAGCTAACGCCTTAAGCCGAAAATCTTGAAGGACTTCGGCCGGTTTAGCCATTCGGAAGAGGAAGATGCTTGAAGACTTAGCAGAAATAGGATTATGTTGCTTTGATGAGGATGTTTGCAATGAGTCGGCATTCTTGTTTAGTCTTGTGGCTCAGCCTACTCTTGTCAGATAAGTGATTGAGTCACAAAGACAGGATCCGAATTTGGATGTTATTCACACTCTGATTTCTGGTGGTAAAACAGTGGATGGATTGGGGCTTACATGTAGATGGAGGTTTACGGTTTAGGGGTTTGTTAGTTGTTCCCACAGTTTGTTGTGATAACGTCTTACGGGAATTTCATACTTCCCGCTTTGCAATTCATCCAGGTGGTACCAAGATGTATCACAATTTGAGACGTCAGTATTGGTAGAGTTGGATGAAGAAGAATGTTGCACAGTTTATGGCTAGATGCCTCACCTGTCAGTAGGTGAAGGCCGAGTACCAGAGGCCAGCTGGGTTATTACAGCCATTGTCGGTAGCGCAATAGAAATGGGAGCAGATTGTTATGGATTTTATGACAGGTCTTCCTAGGTCACGGAGGGGAAATGAGGTCATATGGGTCATTATTGATAGATTGACCAAGACGGCTCACTTCTTGCCTATTAAGGCAACAGATGACGCAGAGGCACTTGGTGTACTGTGACGAGGGCCGTTTGCAATCCGCCAAACTGAATATAGTGAATGTGTAGTTCAAGAAAAGCCTTTTATGTCAAATTTAAATTTATAAAAACCACTACCAACACCACTACTAACGTAGCAAGAGTGAGTAGGGATCGTCCCAAGGGATTATATGTGTTGGAATTTCAACTTCGACTCTAGCGTACCAAATGATTGCAAAAGAGAGTTGGGTTGGTTGATTACTTCTAGAAAAGAATTAATTAAAATGCATTAAGATAAAGAGTAAGTAAGAAGGAAAGGTCTTGGGGTGTAGAGATCACCACCAAACAATACTATTCCAAACCATAATCAAGTGACTAATGAGGGAAATGAATGTGTTGCAACAATATTGCGTGTATAAAAGACATTCAATTGGTAAGGGTGACTCAACAAGTGCAAATTGTCTCAATCAACATGTGTGAGGCCACAATACATCTATTGGTAGAGGAATATATTGTCTAGAC